CCTCTGACGAAAGGACAGTAGAAACTGGCAGGAACACAAGACCGTGGAGCAGACCGATCGATATTGAAAGGAATACCTGATGAGGAAGCTTTTTTAGATCAAATTTTGATGGGGACGGGAGAAAACCTGAATGGTTACCGTTTTGAAGAAGGTAACAATCATGTAGGCAGGAACATCGGCAAGCACAGACACGGCAATGATAGTGGACAGCGCGCCCTGAAATTTTCAACTTAGGGTCAATATCCGGTCTGAATGGAACATTTGTAACCATTTTTTCCAACTGCATTTACTATAATATACTACTGTACTACAGCAGCGGTGCTACCGAAGTTTTTGTTCACACTCGGCACTGTCTCTGTGTCCCTTTCCTGGGTATAAAACCGGGCCAGATCGTAATAGGTCGCTCTGGTGGGCCCGACGGACGAGTTGTCCTGCCTGGCCATATGAATTTGACTTTCCAAGGAAAGGGAAAAGAAGAGATCGCCCGTCATCGATTTCCGCTTCTGGTTAGATTGCGCTTCGCCCACATCGCGCCGCGAGTGACAACGCGACAAATTGCGATTGTCTTGTCCGTCTCCCTCTTCTCGAAACCAAGGTGTGATACTATCTCTCGGCTGCCGGGTGGCAGTCTCTGACTACGTTAGCGCATGCGTGAAAAAAATTTGATGGTGTATGCACAAAATGGGTTTCTTAGGTGGGTCCGTAGGACAGTCAGTGACCGGTAGGACTGGCCAGCGTGTGAAATAGCTCTAGAGCATTGATCCAACTTACGCTCACACGCAAAGCGCTTGAGTCGCGCAGTTCATTCGCGCGCAACACTCACCTGACAGAGTGGCCATCCTAGTGAGGCCAACGCATCGCGAACTTTATCCCTTGGAACGAGAGCTTCCGAAACCACATATCCGTATGTTATGTGTGCCGAATAGTCAACAGAGAAACCAATAGACATTATAATAGTGATCATCGAAATTGCATCCTGAATAACGTTAAAATTCACTCAAGTTCAGTCTCCTTAGGCACGAGACACGAGGCAAAAGGCCGGCATCGTGCGCGTTTGGGCACAAACAGGCAGTTCCTGTCGCTTGGTAACTTTTCTGCAAAATGCGACCCCCAAAGTTCCTGTATTGGTGCGACCTCCCGCCACATTCCCATTTTACCTACTATCTTTCTGAGCTTCGGTGGTGAAGTCCGCTCCTCCACTACCACTGGGAACTGCTCGCTTTTGCAGCTGCCAGTCGCGGACACCCGCATGCAGGTGACAGGCCTTGATGACGGGCCGGCCTACGAACACCATATGTCACATCACCATGTTCAACTATGACACGTGAATCTTATTTCAAAGCGGACCATGCCACCAAGGGGGACAAACCCTAAAGAAAAACAAGAAGA